GTGGTCAAGTTTGGACAACACTGGTTTAGAGTGTTGAAGGCCTGTTTTGAAAAAGGAAGATAAAAATGCCACTGTAATTTGGGGGTTTGCCAAGTCTGTTTCAGCAGTGCAGTATTGATTCCTGGGCTGCAGAAAAGCCACCAAAATGCAAAACTTAAAGAATAGCACCCTTTTAATTTTTCTGCAGAGCTTCAACATCAGAGGACCGAAGAGACTCAGTTAACAGGCACATCTCTAGCAGACGGTTCGTGCCTCCTCCTGTTCTTGTTTCATATTTCTCTGATCAGAATGGATGCTTTCTCCCGAGTTAAGAGATTGCTCAGCAAGGGAACAAAGGGGTCTATAATACTATCAATTAAGGAAATGTGCGTAGATTTTTATATCATTCCTTTTTCAAAGGACTTGGCAGAGTTCCTCCTTTGCAGAAGCAATGAAGCATGTAAAGATGACGTTTCGGATGAAGAGGTGGAATGAATGTTTTTCAGGTTTGCAAATGACTGCAAAACTGGGTGGGATAACAAAGACCTTATGGACAGATGTGAAATTCTAAATGATGCTGGTAGGTCAAAACTTTGACCCCAAACTGGTGAAAAAGAACAGAATGAAACCTAAGAGGGACAAATGCAAAGTTCTTTATTTTGCAAGAAATAAGCAGTGATGCACTTTTCTCTGCATGAATGGTAGATAGATTTTAATTTTATTATACTGTATTTATTTCCTTATTCATTTCCCATCCATCTTAATGGCAACAATTTACAGGAATTGTTTAAAAGTTGTTTTATTTGTTTTCAGACTTTCAAACTTCAACTGCTTTGAAATATTTTTATGGGAAGCAGTGTATAAATGTTTTACAGAAATAAATAAATGTGCAGGGGAAAGAAGTCAAATGCCCAGGAAAAGGATGGGGAATATTTGGCTTGTTAATAGTACATGTGAAACATTCTTGGAACTGTAGCTCATCTCAGGGTGAAATGAACCCACAGGGTGACACATGGAGAGCCAGTTTGGTGTGGTGGTGAAGGGGTTGCCTAGAAACCAGGAGATGGTGAGTTCTAATCCTGCCTTAGGCATGAAACCCAGCTAGGTAACTTTGGGCCAGTCACACAAGCAAAGCCCAACCTACCTCTCAGGGTTGTGGGGAAAATAGGAGGCAGGAGTATTGAGTAGATTCGCTGCCTTGCATTGAGTGTAAAGTGTTTGTGTGTGTATACACACACACACACACAGACACCCAGTTCACTGGTTTATATATATGTATACCAGTCCAGTGTGTGTGTGTGTGTATAAAACCACCTATTACCACCATAACTCAAACCAATGAACTGGTATACATATATATAAACCAATGAACCACACACACACACACACACACACACACACACCAATATATATTCCCCATGCTGGCTGGGGAATTCTGGGAGTTGAAGTCCACACATCTTAAAGTTGCCAAGGTTGAGGAACACTGTATTAGCTGGCTGGGGAATTCTGGGAGTTGAAGTCCACACATCTTAAAGTTGCCAAGGTTGAGGAACACTGTATTAGCTGGCTGGGGAATTCTGGGAGTTGAAGTCCACACATCTTAAAGTTGCCAAGGTTGAGGAACACTGTATTAGCTGGCTGGGGAATTCTGGGAGTTGAAGTCCACACATCTTAAAGTTGCCAAGGTTGAGGAACACTGTATTAGAGCTTTAAGTAGCTCCTACTAATATACAGAGAGTCTGAATGAACAAATAACACTAAAGTTTGGTGCTTGTTTCATTCATTTCATAAATAAAGTCATCCAAAATATGATATGCCAGTGTGAAAAGTAATCACATCCTCATTCAATGGAACCAATGCAAGGGAGAACTACGGCTGACTTGGTTCAGTCCTACTCTATATAAATCTCACAAATGTTGGGTCCTTCATCACGGTGAAGTTATCACCAAAGAGATTCTAGAGCCCTTTCATGTCCTATTCAGAAAAAAATTCTTAAGACCTCTGTTCAAAAAAAAGAAGAGTCATTGAGGTTTATGAATCTGGAAAAGATTACACCACCATTTCCAAAGCTCTGGGCCTCCACTGACCCACAGTTCATTCCCTCAAACAATTTTATTCAGTTCCTTCTGGCCTTTGATGCTGGGCTAGACAGTGATGGAGTGAGTTGATTAGAAATATTCTGCAAAATTTCAGACAGCACCCAGCTTTTCATCTAGCGCGGGAGCAAAAATAGCTTGTTGCTATGAGAACAACCTTTTTTTAATTAGGATTGCAGTTTGTGAGGATTCAGGCAGAGAGAGAACTGAGGTCACGTTTTTGAAATGTTTCGGTAGATGGTTAATCTGATTATATGGGAAAGTCAGATGCTTCTATCTGCTTCTATCTGCACAAAAGCTATAATTGTCAGGGCTGACATTTTTATTAAAAAGTTATTCAAAATAAGGTGTCTTCAGCTTGTGTAATCTCACAAGGATATCTTGTTTTATTATGTATCTTCTAGTTATTCCCCAGCCCACTATTGGTGCACCTGTAATAATCCCTGAAGACGAATGTAAGTGCATCTGCATTGCAATTATTATTATTTATTTAATTTGAATGATTTAATTTGCTTAATAACACCAATTCGTTTGAATGGTTATTTGTGATAAGCAGAGTTGTGATCAAATCTACCTTCCTGTCATTGATAGCCTTTTGTTCTGAACAGTTACTTCAGATGCGGAAAGCTATGGAGATCTCAATTTCCAAAAAGGAAGAGGAGGAGGAGGTACATTTTTAACATTGTACATGTTCAGAAGATTGCACGAAAATATGAGCTTGGTAATATATACAGTGGTACCTCGGGTCACGAACTTAATTCATTCCGCGATTCGGGTTGCGACCCGAATTGGTCGCGACCCGAATCAAATTTTCCCATAAGGTTCAATGTAAATTAAACCTTAATCCGTTCTGAACCATATATATATATTTTTAAACCATAAAAATATGACACAAAGTACAGTACAGTACACTATGAAGAGAGAGAACGCTAACCTTGCTTGAGGCGTGGAGGACAGGAAGGCGGGTGGGGAGGCGGTTTTTTTTTTGGGGGGGGAGTCCCCTCCCCCCCAGGAAACAAACACCCCGGAGCCGAGCGGGGGAAAAGACGGCGGACGCCAGCGGTCCCCCCCCGGGGGG